GGGAGCGCCGCCGCGCTTCCCAAGCGGCGCACTATCCAGTGTGCCACCGGGCTGCCCGGGTTGATTTCTTTTTAACAATACAAAGTGACGTTACAGTTTATGAATACAATGTGAAATAATTAAGCTAGTCAACGCATCCATCACCTCAAATATTAAACATTCTTTGTGGTGAGAACATTTGAAATTTACTCTCTTGGCAATTTTGAAATGTACAATACTCTGTTCTTAACCATGTTCAGCAAGCAATGCAATAGAACTCAAAATAAGAAAAACAATTCCTCCTGTCTGAGATTTTCTACCCTTTGATCATCATCTCCCCATTCCTCCTGCCCCCTGGGCCTCTGTAACTGTTTTACTCTTTGATTCTATAAGTTTGATTGTTTTAGATTCTACATAGAAGTGAAAACATGTAGTATTTGTCCTTCTGTGCTCGGCTTATTCCACTTAGCATAATGTTCTCCAGTTCCATCCATGTTGTTGGAAATGACAGGATGGCCAACTTTTTTAAGGCTAAGTAGTACTCCACTGTGTATATGTACCCATTTTCTTTTTTTAAAAAAAAAATTTAATTTTTTTAAAAAAGGTGACCGGTAAGGGGATCTTAACCCTTGACTTGGTGTTGTCAGCACCATGCTCTCCCATGCAAGCCAACCGGCCATCCCTATATAGGGATCTGAACCTGTGGCCTTGGTGTTATCAGCACCGCACTCTCCCGAGTGAGCCACGGGCCGGCCCCAGGTACGACGCATTTTCTTTATCCGTTCATCCTTCAGTGGACACTTAGGTTGATTCCATAATGTTGCTGTTGTGAATAGTGCTGCAGTGAACAGGAGAGTGCAGACATCTCTTCAACACACTGACTTCAAATCTTTTGGGTAAATACCCCAAAGTGGGATTGTTGGGTGTCCAGTTTTATAAGAGCTTCCCGAGTCACAGGTTATACACACATTCTGATACATGTTCTTATAATTTTCATAGCTGATCCGTCTAGAATTTTTTGGTCCAGGGTGTGAGATAGAGGTCTGAGCTTAGGTTCTTCTGGAAGGATTGATAATGGCCAATTTATTCAAGCTCTGATTCTTCCCTCCTGGATTGAACTGCCAGGTACACTAGGACCAGTTCGAGATTTGCTTTTCTGTCTCACCAATAGTCTGTTCATACAGGACATGATGACCACATAGGACATGTCATTCTGTTTGGTTATAATGACTTCAGAGTATATGTATACATCTGGCAAGTCAAGATACTCTTTTTTTTTTTTGTGGCTGGGAAGGGGNGTTTTTGTTACATCGGGAAAGTCAAAATTTTTTTTTTTTTTTTTTTTTTTTTTTTTGTGGCTGGTAAGGGGATCTGAACCCACGACCTTGGCGTTATAACACCTGCTCTAACAAACTGAACCAACCAGCCAGCTCAGGACCCTCTTTATTATTTCTTTTTCATGATCCTCTCATTTATTCTGCCATTTGAACGCTGAAATAGTTTCATCCATTTTCAAAAAAGTCCCCTACTGGAACTCTAAATGAATGTGCAGCACACTCTGTGAATTTCGCACTAGCTTATATTAATTCTTTCTGCCTGACCTCATGATACATCTTTCAAATGGTTTTTGTCTTCTTTTGTGGCCTTTAAATAGCTCCTACAGGGCTGGGCAGTTGGCTCAGTTGGTTACAGCACAGCCTTGTCACACCGAGGATGGGGGTTCGTATCTTGCACTGGCCAGATGCCAGAAACAAAAAGCCAAGTAGCTCCTTTAGCTTGTGTGTAAACTTTGTTCCTATGCCTTATATAGCTTTCGATATTACTGTAAATGGTATTTTTCTTCTAATTTCCATTTCCAGCTGATGTTTCTTTGAATACAGAAAAGCTGTTGGTTTTCCTATGTAGGC